TACATTGCACAACAGGATTGTTTTAAAAGAAATTTGCCTTTTTACTCCTATCATGTTTCCTAAAAAGAATGTTATCATCGCTGACGTGTCCACTTGTTTGTACCGTATATCAATTTGCCGGAGCAGAAAATTAAATTAGTAACCCCACTGAAAGGAAAATAACACGCAAGTATCAGTGCTCATATATAAGCAATAATTATGATTTAATGTAACTTTGTATTGAATAGAATGTATGAACAGAAGATTTACTTGCTTCAGCTTCGAAATATTCTTGAAATCGAGGTTGACGTCGTCACCAATGAGTACAAATGGTGCCCAGTAAATCACCTCCTTGAACTTTTCAATTTCTCTCATACACTTCATGGCCTGATGGAGAGCTTCACTTGCCTTCTTGCCTTTGGCAAGTGCATCGTAGAGGAAACTCATGAACTCCAGGGTTCCCTCGTCGCCAATCGCCCACAAGGTTACCACAACAGATCTAGCACCGGCACCCAAAAGTGCACGCGCCATACCGACCACACCCTCGGCCATGACCTCCCCACGAGCAGTGTAACAGCAGCTAAGTACAACCAAACGTGCTCGTAACCCAGCCTCTATCACATCTTTCATTGTCAGTAGATAGTCTTTCTCTTGCGGCTGAGGGTTTTCTCTTGTGGTGTTTGGTGCCAAGATAACTTCTCCAGTTTCCATTTTACCGTGCGCTGCAATGTGAACCAACGCCACTGATGATATTCGTTTCAACACTTCATGTTTTGTTGCCATTTCTCCAGTGAGGGGAGAGATATTGAGGATACGTCCGATCATCTCCACTTCTTTCTTTGCTCCTGGAAGCTGCACCAAACGTCTTCCCTCATAAATGATATCTTTGAAACATGGGTCGCCGACAAGCAATGCACCGGTCTTCATGTGAAAGTCATCTGGACAATCATGAATTAGTCGCAACGTCGTCAGAGAGGGAAGCACACGAATTCTGAAAGAATCACTTAGATATGATGAGTTCGAGTCCTGCAACGCTGCAAAAGGTACAAGGCAAAATGGCCCCTCAGGAACGAATGTTAGCTCGTTGCCTTCGATCAGATCAGCAATAGGAGTAACGATGATGTCATGCAGCTTCATTAAAGCGCTTGATTGGGAGTACCTCACATCAACTCGGATCACATCATTGGCCACTTCCTCTTCTATCGGCGAATCAAGCGGAGGATTTTCGATTTTAACAGTATCTCTTGCACCGATCTCCATAAGAGCAGTTTTGTTCAGTAGCTGGATGAAACATTCCAATTCATTCTCAAACTTATAATTGTTGACGTGTACCTCTCTAATTTGGATATTATCTTCACTGAGGCAAACCCAGAAGTAAACGCATGGTCCATTAATAGCTATGAAAACTGTGCCCAATGGAACCCACCTCAGAGAAACGCATGATGCGCTGTACGTTGAAGAATCTCCAGGCTTATATTTTGTGGCCATGAGATCTCTCAGAGCTTGAGCACGTCCTTTCTCTGCAGCAAGAAGAGCCTTTGCAACTTGACCTTGATTGAGATTTATACGCCACAAACCTTTGTATGCACTTTGGTACTGATTACGATAACAAATCTTCCACTGATCGTTGAGTTGAAGACTGGCCCTGATATCATCGTACAACTCTACACTCGAGTAATAACAGTCAAAAGCCATCATAAGATTTCCTTGGCACTCAAAACTGCTTCCAAGAAAACAGAGTGAGCACGCCTCTCCAGTCTTGTCTCCCACTTCTTTGGATATTTCTAGGTG